TGCTACATTGCTCCAAGTGTTTAATAGAATCTCAGAGTTTGGGTTTGACTATTTAGAGATACGTCATCTGCAAAGAAAAACAGTTTGATGTATTCTCTTGCTCTAGGTAAGACTTGAAGTACTATATTGAATAAGAGTGGGGAAAATAGACCCTCCTGTCTTGTTCCTACTTTCAGTCTCTCAACATTTAGTAAAATACTGCTGTAGTTTTAACATGTTGAGGCATTTCCTTCTATTCCTAGTTTCTCAGGGTGAGGATCCATTATCATTAAAGAATGCTAAATGCTTATAAAGATTTTTTTCTGCACCTACTGAAGTTATCATGTTGGTCTACATACTGTATGCATTGATTTCCAGATAGTTAATCACCCATGCATCCCTGGAATCAAGCCAATTTGCTCACAGGAAATGAACCTTCAAATATATTGCTGAGCCGGGTATTGGTGGCACACACCTTTAATCCCAGCACTTGGGAGGCAGAGACAGGCTGAATTTGGTTTTAGGAGTTTTTTGTTTGGCTTGGTCGAATTTTTTTTTTTAAGACAGAGTTTCTCTGTATTGCTTTGAAGCCTGTCCGGTAACTTGCTCTGTAGACCAGGCTGGCCCCGCTGGTTTTAAGAGCTTTTGTGTTTGCACTGAGGACTTTAAGGTGAATCATTAGGTTATTTGTTTGAGATTTCTTGGGTTTGATTTTTTTACCTAGGTCCTCATAGCTCTGACTGCCCCTTTTAGAGTTGCTCTATCCCAAAGGTTAATTTAAGTTGTGTTTTTATTTTCATTTGAATCTACAAATGTTTTAATTCCCTGATTTATTCAATAGCCTAGAAATCATTTAAAAATGTATTACTTGGGGCTGAGGACGTGGCTAATTCAGGAAAGTCCTTGCTGAGCAAGCATGGGATGAAAGTTAGAGTCCCAGAACACATGTTTAAAAAAAAAAAAGGCAAAGAAAAGAATAAGAAAAACAGACTAGGGATGGTGGCAAAAACTGTAATCATAGAGATGAGAAAGCAGAGACTATGTCTCAGTCGGTTTTATTTTTCTTGTAAACAAAAGTAAGTTACACACAGCCTGAGGAATGTTGGCTTATGGTCTCTAGTCACATTTACATACTTCATACATACTTACTTTCATGTGTGCATCTAATTACATACACACATACACACACACAGACAGACAGACACACACACACACATATGAAAGAGAGGAGGAGAGGGGATGGGGGCAGGAGGAGGAGGGAGGGGAAGAGAGAGAGGGAAAGAAATCTTCATGTTAGCATAGTTTATTTTCCTGTTGACTTCTAGTTTCATTCCATTGTGATCTTGTGAAATTATCTCACTTATTTTTATTTCTTAACACTTGGATTAAGGCCCACATGTGGCATATATCTTTAACAGTGTTTCAAAGAAAGTATATTCTCCAGCTGATGGGTAGAATGTTTGTAAATATATGTTAATTCCATTGGACCTATGATACAGTCTAAGTCTGAAAATTTTTTTGTTTGTATAGAAGACCTCTATTATAGAACATGAAGTAGTAATCTGGACCCAACTGTTTCTGTATGTCCAACAGTATTTGTTTTATGAAACTCAGTAAATCAACATTTTGTGGTAAGTATTTAAGATCATTATATCATCATCTTTGAATATTCCCCTCATAAATAAACAGTACCCTTCTTTATCTCTCCTAAGTTGGGCTTGAAGTCTACTTTTTCAAATATAAGAATGGTCACTTCTGCCTGTTTCCTGCTTCTAATTGCTTGGTATACACAGCTTTCCATTCTTTGACTTCCGCTCTGTTTGTAATTTTACCACTAAGGTCTGTCTCTTGTGAACAATGAACAATTGGATCTTGATTTTTTTGTTTGCTGGGGGAGGGAAAGTAAAGATTTACTTTTATTTTATATGTATGTACACCACGTATGTGGCAAGTGTTATGCAGAGACCAGAGAGATTATCAGGTGCTCTAGAACTGAAATAATGTAAGTCTGTAAACCACCACAGTAGTGCTGGGAAAGGAACCTAAGTCCTCTGCAAGAGTGAGTGCTCTTAACTGCTGAGCCACCTCTCTGGTACTTGGCCCTTGAATCTTGATTCACTCAGTCTTTACTTGGGGGAACTGGGAGCATTAACATTCAGGGTTACACTAAAGGACCCTTGCTGATTCTATAACGTTGATGATTATTTCCAGCTGGCATTTTAGATAAGGTTTCTACTTCTGTGATAAACACCATGACCAACAGCAAATTGGGGAGAAAATTGCTTATTTCATCTCATACATCTAGGTAACAGTCTATCACTGAAGGATTATGCCAAGGAGTTTGCCTTTGTAAATGAATCTCTGTTTTTCTCTAGAAACTTTCAGTAATTTCTTTGCTCTGTAATTGTCACATTTTAACCAGGGCATCTCCTGGGGCAGTCCTTTTCTGATCATGTCTACCTAGGGGTCTAAAAATATCCTGTATGTCTGTTTCTTTTCCTAGATGCAGAATTTTTCTGATTTGATTTAACTGAATGTTTATTCTATGCCTCAAGTTATTGTCTCAGTTCCCTTTTCTACAGAAAGGATTCATTGGGTTGCTTTCTTATTTGTCAGAAGCTTTTTTGGAATTCTGTGATATTTCATTATCTTTGGTTTCAGTTACAGGCTGTGGAAGGTGTCTACTAGCTTGCTTTTCCATGTTGTTTTTAAAATTCTATTTTATGATGTGTATGTGAAGAGATGGGAAGGTTTTTTAAAAGTTTATTTCTCCCAACTAATGGGTAGTCTTCTCTTAAGTTTATAATTCCCACTACTAATAGAGGACAGAAGCAGACCAAGGTATGAAGTCAACAAATTGATAACAAACCAAATATTCAAGTGAAACAAAAAACACTGTCTCACACCAGCCATAAATAAGGAGACATGATAGAGCCTTTTCCCACATAGATCCTTCTATATACAGTGTCTGCTTTTCATACAATAGCAGACTCATGTAACATACTAGGTTTGCAGTGGTTTATTCTGGTTTCCTTTCTGCTTTTATTTGCAGCAACAGCATACGTACAACAGATTCTCTCCCTTCCTTATCACTTTGTTCAATGCTGCAAGCTGGTATCTATTGCTTCTTTTGTAAAACTACAAGATTTCGGATTTCACCTAGTTTCTGAATATCTAATGCTAACTGTAGCCTGCTCTCATCTTTTCATACTCTCACCTGGCTCTGCAGTAAGGTATCCAGTATTTTCTTTCAGGTTCATGAAGACATAGAACCCTTATGTCTACCCTCCCATGTTCTAAGTCTTAGACTACTTAGAATCTAAACTTCATTTAGTTTCTTGGGAGGAGAAAGTGGTGCTGTAGGTTCAGATGAAGACCCCTTTTCTTTTCATGAGTTAGGTTTGAAAAAGGTAATTCATCAAAATAAGATTTTTAAAAATAATACCTTAGGTCTTCAACTTAAGCATTAAAATTTCAATGAGAAGAAACAGAAATGTCTTTCTGATAAATCCTCTTTATCACTCAGTCCATGATTGACATTTTTAAAATTCAAAAGAAATGTGAAGCCTTCATGTATCAAAGACTGTATATGAAATGCCATCTTCTACACATATACAGTCATGGCCACAGGGCTCTACAGCCAACACTGTGCAGCACAGTGTATAGCATATACTGTGCTTGCATGAAATTATAGTGTCCTGTGTCATCATAACCTTCTTGGTATTAAGTATATATTAATCAACTAAGCATATATATATATAGTATACTCTGTATTTGCACAATAACAAAATCACCTATTGACACACTTCTTCAAACAGACCCTTCACACAGAAAACCCAATTTGTACTTTAATTATTAGTGACAGTATGAATAAATATGAATAGCATAATATTGCAAAGAATCAGAACTATATGACAATGGTACCATAATATAAGGACCACATTTAATTGCATTAAAAAGACAAAGGATACAATAATAATAATACCATCTGATAATCATTCTCCTGTGCCCATGTACCACTTGGATTAACTCACTTAATCACTGTATTTGATAATCATATCAATTTTATAAAGAAAAAAAACCTACACATGAGAAACCTAGGAAAGCCAACCTGAGGCTACTTCTCAGTCTGGAGTTCATATAATATAAAGAAAAAGGAAGATGGCGAATTTAAGACCAATGTGAGTTACTTATTTAACCTGTCTGAAGTAAGAAAAAAAAAAAACATACCTAAGACATCACAACTAAGTATCATCATTTGTCTGCCTGAACATGAGGTGATCATGTTCCCTGGGCATAGATCCCCATGAGAATAATAACTTGCCCTGTCTAAGGCCAGCCATAATTATCAAGATATGGGTGCTTTCACAAACAGGAACTACATGTCATTTCAATATTATAATAAGAAAATTGCTGGATAAAATGTATATGACATAAACAAGCATATAATTTTAACTCTACCATAATTTTTACACTTCAATTTACATTGTTATTGCTTGTTTTACTCTGCTTAAGTTTTGTGTTTTTTGGGGTTTTTTTTTTTTTTTTTTTGAGACAGGGTTTCCCTGTATACCTTTGAAACCTATCCTGGAACTAGCTCTTGTAGTTGTCACAGAGACCCACCTGCCTCTGCCTCCTGAGTGCTGGGATTAAAGGTGTGTGCCACCACCGCCTTGCCTGCTTAAGTTCTTAACTAAGACATCTCTAACAAAGTGCCAACAACACGAAAACCATTTCCCAAACTCTATGCCCCTGGTGGCTCTTTACATCTTCAGTTCTTTCAGTGAAAACATGCTCAGTCTAAGTTTTGTGTTCTGAATATTCTCATTATCTTCCAAAGCACAAAAGTCTGTATTCACTGTCATGAAAAGCTTACATTCTTCACATTTTGTGTACTCAAAACTATATCTGTAGGCATCACTTTCCTGGAATGCATCCTATCATTTTAGTCCCTGTTAGGATGGGAAATAATGTTAGTAAATGAGCCTCAATAACATTAGTTTTAGAGCAAGCATACTGACCTTGAAGTGAGACTGAAGGAAACAGCAAATCCAGGAAGAAAACGTGAAAGAGAAAGTTAGAAAGAATTAATTAAGAACAATAATAAAAAAATACTAAAATTCATGAATGGGATAAAGCATAAAACACAGAATAAAGAGGACAGGACCATAGAGTTATTTCACAGGTGGGAAAAAAATCAAAACTCCAGATTTCAATAGATACATTTCCTATCAGAGTTAAGTACTTTATTTGATGAAAATTCTTAAAAATGCTTGTCCAAGTTGACCATTTCCTGTAGCAAATTTCTTAAAGACAAGGGAGGGTTCAATTTTATCATTTAAATAGCTATAGCTAGCATTAGTGGGTGGTTTGGGGTTTTATTTTGTTTTTATGAACATTTCTTTGTGTATTTATTTTCTATGTATGTGTGTGGGCACATGAATATATGCTATGGCATATGTGTAGAATTCAGAAGACAAATTGTAGGAGTCTATACTCTCACTCCCCCATGTGTGTTCCACATCAAAGGCTTGGTGGCAAGCATCTTCACCTGTCACACCATCATCCATCCAGTGCTAGCATTAGAGGCCTTGAAGTTTCAGTCAGCAGAAGTTTTTTTTTCTTTAATAATTTATTTTTACTTTGTGTGCATGAGTGTTTTGTCTGCATGGATGACCGTGTAAGGGTAATAGATTCTGGAGCTGCCATGTGGGTGCTGGGAATTGAACCCCAGTCCTAGTCAGCTCTTAACCACTATGCCAGCTCTCCAGCTCTCCAGGTGAGTTGTTTATACTCCACCTTAAGTCTGGCTAATCCCTCAGTACCCTATCTCATGAAGAGGACCCAAGTCATCGAAAAGAAAAAGAACAACACAAACAGTTTTTGAAATATTTTTTTCAGTCAAATTTTCCTTAATCAATTCACATCTACTAAGATCCATGAATAATACAATCTAACAACAATGAACAAGAATAGCTCTATATAAAAAATAATTTCCAGCACTGATCAGCATTAAAACCTACGAAGTAGCCATGTTTCAGCCCTCCACAGCACAAAGGTTCTCTGAGTCATTATTGCCTTTTATAATAGGCAGGTTTCTCTTTCTGAAAATTAGCCAGTTTAACTGAAATAAGTACTGCTTCCTCAGCAGTTAAGATTTATATTGCCTAATGACCTAATTTTTACTTTAAGAATCAAAAACAGAGCATTCATCTCTCTCTCTGACCCCTAACTGTAGACACACTGGAACCAACTGCCTCATATTCCCACAATGCCTCTCCCACCATGATGAACTACACTTCAAACCATGGGCCAAAATAAATCGTTCTTTCTTTAAATTGCTTCTTGTAAGAAATTTGGTTACCACAACTAAGTAACTAATACAGTAAATTGCTACCAAGGAGTGGGATTGTTGATGTAATGAAGTTGACCATGTGGTTCTTTGGCATTTGGAACTGGGTTGCAAAACTAATGCAGAGGAGTCTGAAGCACAACACTAAAGAAGCCCTAAAATGTAAGCCAAGATTCATGGGCCATTCTGGTAAGAGTTTGGAAGACACTGATATCAATAGAAATGCAGAGAGTAAAAAGCCTGAGTCAAAAGGTTTCAGAGGGAAGTGAAAACTATAAGAAAGTGGGCTAAAGCCCACTCATATTCTGGCAAAAACTTTTGTGTTCCCCCTGTATCCTACAAACTTGGGGTGAATTCCAAAACAGTGGACTAAGCTCTTCAGCAGAAGAAATTTCAAGATCACATAACACAGACTGACTGCTGTTCCTCAGATTTAAAGCAAAACAGAACAGAAATATATACAAATATATTTCTTAAATATATGCACTTAGGCAAAGAAAGGAATGAGTGAGTTTGAAGTTACAGACCAGGTGAGAATGGAGGAAGTAGGTGTAATTATTAAAGTAATTAATACAGCTAAGGGAAAAGCCTCACACTTGAACAATAGGAAAGGTTTCTTGAGGACAAGATCTCACTGAGGCTCCAGAGCTCACAAAATGCTCTTGAAAGAGAGGACTGAACTAAAAGTGGAAATAAAGGGACTCCAAAACAGCTCCTAGGGGAATAATTGCTCATATTTAGCTGCCAAAGCACAGAGGCATTAGAGTCATGGATGAGCCACACCTTGTCTTTGCAACAGAATATGGCAACACAGTCTATGTAGCTTGGAGGCACATAAAAATCAAATGTGGCCCACTCAGGGCAGAGAGCAGAGGGCAGAGGTGAACTCCAGGCCCCCATCCTGGTCCCAACTTCCACTCGCCCTCTCTGTGATCTCCTAGACTGGGGACTGCACAAGCTTGACTTTCCCCCGGAGGACCAGGAGCCTGCTGAGACAGTTGGTCTACTCCCACCCTCACTCAGGGCAGAGGGCCTACGGCAGACTGCAAAGGGCAGAGGGCAGAGCTCCCACCCACCGGGAGAGGGAGTGCCTCAGACCTATCTGGACCCACCATGAGTCCCTTCCGTGAATTGTACCTGCTTACACCCACCAGAAGAGAATCTTGGACCTGTACCCACCAGGAAGGGAAGAGACCCCACCTGTACCCACTGAAAGAAGGGATGGGAAGATGACAATATGAAAACAAATTCAACGACAGAATAACCACTATGACACCACCAGAGTCTAGGGATTGTACACCAGCAAGATCTGAATATCACAACAAAGATGAAACAGAAGAGAATGACCTTAAAAATAACTTCATGAAGATGATAAAGATACTAAAAGAAGAAATGATAAAATCCTTTAAAGAAATGGAAGAAAAGACAAACCAAAAATTATAAGAAACAATTCAAACAGTACAAGGTTTGAAAGCTGAAATAAAGACAAAAAAATCTGAAGGAATGCTGGAATTAGAAAAGGTGAGTGAGCGATCAGGAACTACAGATGCAAGAATAACCAACAGAATACAGGCACTAGAAGAGAGAATTTCAGGTGTTGAGGATTCACTGGAAGAAACAGATTCATCGACCAAAGAAAATTATGAGTCCAAGAAATCCCTAACACAAAATATCCAGGAAATACGGGACACCGTGAAAAAGCCAAACCTAAGAATAACAGGTATAAAAGAAGGTGAAGAAACCCAGCTCAAAGGTGCAGAAAACATATTCAACAATCATAGAAGAAAACTTCCAAACCAAAGAAAGGCATGCCAATTTAAGTACAAGAAGCCTACAGAACACCAAACAGAGTAGACCACAAAAGGAAGTCCCCTCACCACATAATAATAAAAGCCCCAAACATACAGAATAAAGGAAGAATATTAAGAGCAGCAAAGGAAAAAGGACAAGTAACATATAAAGGCAAACCTATCAGAATCACACCTGACTTCTCCATGGAAACTCTGAATGTCAGAAGGTCCTGGATAGATATTCTACCAACACTAAGAGACCACAGATGCCAGTCCAGACTACTATACCCAGCAAAACTTTCAATAACTATAGATGGAGAAAACAAGATATTACATGACAAAACCAGATTTAAACAATACATATCCACTAATCCCAGCCCTACCGAAAGTACTGGAATGAAAACTTCAACCTAAGGAGGGCAACTATACTCACAAAAAACATAGGCAATAGATAGTGCAACTTTACCAAAAGCCAAGAGAAACAGCAGGGTAAATCCACAAACAATAACACCAACAACAACAAATCAAAAACAAACAAGAATTAATACTCAATAGTCCTTAAATTCACTCAATATTAATGGTCTTAATTTGCCTATAAAAGAACACAGACTAGCAGAATGGCTACAAAGACAGAATCCATCCTTCTGCTGCATACAAAAAACACACCTCAACTTCAAAGGCAGACATTACCTCAGAGTAAAGGGTTGGGATAAGATTTTACAATCAAATAGATCCAAGAAACAAGCTGGTGTAGCTATCCTAATATCGAACAAATTAGACTTCAAACTAAAATCATTCAAAAGAGATGAAGAAGGTCATTTGATATTCATCACAGGAAAAATCCATAAGAATGAAGTCTCAATTCTGAACATCTATGCCCCAAACACAAAGGCACCCATGTTCGTAAAAGAAACATTACTAAAACTCAAATCACACATAAGACCTCACATAGTTATAGTGGGAGGATTCAACACCCCACTCTCACCACTAGACAGGACCACCAGACGGAAACTGAACAAAGAAACTTCTTTCAGTAAAGAAGTTATGACCCAATTGTGTTTAACAGCCATCTATAGAACATTCCATTCAAATGCAAAAGAATATACCTTTTTCTCAGCGTCACATGGGACGATATACTTGGTAACATAGCAAACCTCAACAGGTATAAAAAAGTTAGAATAACCTCCTGTATATTATCAGACCACCATGTTTTAAAGTTAGAATTCAACAACACAAACTGCAGAAACCCTACAAACTCATGGAAATTGAACAACACGCAATTGCACCATTCCTGGGTCAAGGAAAAAATAAAGAAAGAAAGTCTTCTAGAATTAAATGAAAATGAAGACACCACAAATCCAGACTTATGGGACACTTTATAAGCAGTACTAAGAAGAAAGTTCATAGCACTAAGTGCTCATATGAAGAAACTGGAGAATAGTCACACTAGAGAATTAACAGCACAAATGAAAGCTCTAGAACAAAAAGAAGCAAACTCACTCTGGAGGAGTAGATGCCAGGAAATAATCAAATTGAGGGCTGAAATCAATAAAGTCAAAACAAATAAAGCAATACAAAGAGTTAATGTAACAAAGAGTTAGTTCTTAGAGAAAGTCAGCAAGACAGACAAACCTCTATCCAAACTAACCAAAAGGCAGAGAGAGAACATGAGAATTAACAAAATCAGGAATGAAAAGGGGGACATAACAACAGACACTGAGGAAATCCAGAGAATCTTCAGGTCATACTTTGAAAACCTGTACTCCACAAAATTTGAAAATTTAAAGGAAATGAACAATTTTCTGGATAGATATCACTTACCAAAATTAAATCAAGAGCAGATAAGCAATCTAAACAGACCTATAACTCCTAATGAAATTGAAGTAGTCAT